GGTACCTGCCACCTCCGTCCGCCGTCGCAGGTTAATCTAAATATTATGCCGAATATTTTTGTTAGTTCATTACTACATAACTCTATTACTATTTTCAATAATATAATATGTAATAATAATATGGCCCGTGTATCGCTGCAGTTATTGGATAAAATCAATGTCTAGACTGAAAAATTACAACCAATTCAAACGATTAATTATGTTTCGATCGGCGCTAAATACCCAGCTAATTGATTCTTTACATTTTTTTAGAAAGTTTAAAATTACACTATATAATAATTATGCAACGTCGGGGCATTTGCATTTCGAACATACGCGATGGTAGGAATWTTTTAACTGGAACATTTTTTTTGAAAAATAAAAATTATCGCACGCGTTTGTTAGTAAAATTATTATTATTCAATGTAATAGTGTTTTACTGCTGTATTAGTGTATTAAAATATCTTTGGCGTTTCTACATAAAATACCATTTAAAACATTTCATATAATATRCATTTTTAACAAAAAAAATATTTCAACTATCTATGTTTTTACTAGTAATTTATCTTTAGAAAAAATTAATATAGRTCGTTTAGAAAACCAAATATCAGATACATGTCACATAGGTGGAAGTTAAAATTAAAATAATAAACAAAATCATACTTTTTGTTATTTGTTCTTCATAATATAATTATGTATAYATAATATACACATTGACCATGTTTGTTATGTTATTTGAAAAGTATTTCTAATAACAATTATTATGAACATATTTCATAATATCGTATTTATATTTTATGGTTCATGTATTTGTTAGGTTTTAATAAAAAAAAACATAATCTTAAAAATATTTATTAAATAATCATAGAATTACAATTCCTATTAGTTATTGGACTATAATAATAATATAACCTACTACTATAATATGGTTACAGGAATCTATACCTACTTATTTTATAATTTTAATCTTTTTTTCTTACTTTTGAATAATCAAGTTTATGCTAATGCTTTGAAAACTTCATAAATATATTTAAATAACTAGTAATGAATAATGATTTATAGAAGTAAAAATTGTACTAAGTTTGTTACATTTGAATTTGTAAATTGTATGAATCATCGTACATTTCTAGAACATAACTCATAAAGTCATATAAGTTTATTAAAAGCTGAATCACAAAAAATAATATTATTAACTAATGATCAATAATACTAAATTATAAATTTTAATGAATAGGTTTTTACTTTATCTTATTTATGAATATTGAATATTGCATGATATATACCTACATAGTATAATATACATCATAATTCATAGTATTAATGTATAATACATAAAAAAAAACTGTGTGTCTTGTGTTTAGATCATTATAGTTTTGATTAGAACACAATTTATTTTAATTTAATATCAGAATATCGTATTTAAGTTAAAATAGTAGGTATATATTACTTATTATGGTGACTGCAGGTGACTAATTATTGTTATTACATAATAAAATTCGTTTGTTTTTATTAAATTTTGTACAAACAATTTTAAGTTACCTTAAAATTATTTTTACAGGTTAATTAACGTTTTTTTTTAATACAAAACCAACGTCTGTAATAGTGTATTATAAATGAGAAAATTTATAAACTAAAAATATTGATAAGAACTGTTCTGTTTTTCCAATGAGAGTATTAAACGCCGCTTATGTAATAATAATTAATTAACTTTAATATTTATTATCATATTATTCTATATAATATAATATAGTTACCTTTATGAGTAGAAATTATTAATTATGTGTGTACTTATTTTTTCCTTACCATATATAAAAATATTCAAAAAGTAACCAATAATAAATAATTATAAATGGTTTTATGCATTTTATAATGAATTTTAAAAATGTATTATTTATTAAAATTTGAATGGCTCTCATTCAGTCAATTTTGGTTTTAGAGCTATGGTTAATCGGTTAAAATGACTTAAAAAATTCAGTCAATCCAAATTTGGTATCAAAAATACCGGTTGTTATTAAAAAAAAAATAATAAATTGCATTGCGCATGCACGTACTCAGAGGGTTAAATATTTGAAATTTAACTGAAAATGTGTATTTATATACCACTAGCTTGTAAAAAAAATTCGATTTATTCCAACATAATCCGTCCGAAAAATTCAGTAGTCCCTGAATTGGTGAACACGCGGTATATGGTTATCACTTTATCAGACCATCTCTTTTTATAATAATTTAATTTCAATATTTAATGGRGATTCCAACTAACTCATCTTATTGGCCACATATTCACGCTGCACCACTGCAGCGTTTTTTTGAAAATAAGTAGTTGTTTTCATTTTTCTATGAGACACAGTTATTTTAAATAACTATACATTAATACATATATAATAGGTATGTATATATATATATATATATATATGCTGCCGACGACGACACAGCCACACAGCAGTATTCGGCAGACGTAAGAGTGGGGGTTGTAAATATGTGTGTGTGCGCACGGCAAGCAACGCACGTCACGTAACAATACGGCCAACATACTTTATACTTCTAAATTTCTAATAACTATTTGAATAATTAATTTTTTGGAATTATCTCTTCAACCGCACACCGAGTATTTGCGTTAAAAAAAGAAATCATGAAAATTGGTCCACTAGAACTTCAGATAATATATAACTGTCACAAGAAATCGCCACACGTTTTAACAATATTTAAAGATAAAAAGATAAAATACCTCATTCGACGTTCGGAATAATAATAATCCATATATTTTAATATACACTTTTTTTGTATCTAGGACCCGAGAAAAGGAACTAATATGTTGCCAATACTTCTCCTCCAGTCCCCATCATCGTTATTTAAAAATATTTAAATATGTTATTACTATACAGATTAATTGTTAATTATTTAATATTGTTCTAGCTGGTATTTGTTTTTATAATAWTTTAAATATACTGAATATAATCACTTGAAAACATGACCAAAATATTATAATAAATTAATAACTTGATGTTATTGTAATATTATTACGTAATTTAAACTTTAATATTATACATTTTAACTGTAGGTTATGTTATAATAACGCCAACATTATAATATTTGATATTTAACAAAATACTGACGTTATTATAATATTGATGTTACACAATTGCTGTCTGGGATATAATATCATGAATAAATACAAATTAAGTATTTATAAATAATAGGTAACTAATAAGTGTATTTTTCACATATGTTAGGTACTTACATAGATTAACATTTAACAACCACATTTTGGAGTGATATATGTATCCCTTTATAAAATATAGTGTCATGTACTTTGTATTTGCACCTGCAATTATATAATATATATACACTTAAGTTGTATAGGTGTTGTATATATTAGACTTATGTTGCAACAATTATGACTAGTGGCGAGACCGTGTAATATACACGCATAAAATTATATTATTCAACAGCATAAAGCACTTTTGTTTTAATATATTTTTTTCTCTGCTGTGATTAATCTTATAATGATGTATTTAGTATGTCAAATTTTAATATGCCCATTGTTTATACTACGAATTATTTACTACCTAACCTATACAATATTAGTTCGTAGTTCATACCTCTATAAATCTTGTCATTCCATTAATATTATATTATCAGTATCATTGTGTATATTGATGTTTATTATATATTATGTGTAGTATAATATATATATGTRGTATTTCGAGGTTTTTTTACTCTGTTGTTTGATTGATGCCTTTTACGTATCTAAGAGAAAATTATTATATTTTAGCTTAACGTGGATTCATATCACAGTTTTTTTTTATTGAGTCTTATCATTAAAATTATGATCTATCTAATTATATTATATAATAATATTAAACACCAGTAAATAACATTTAAAGAAAGTCTATACCAGAACATGTAAATTATACCATTATACTCATATATTGGCTTTATTATTTGCAACATGYTCTGTAATGTTCTGATTTTTATTAAAAACAGTGCTTTCAAATTTTTATGCGTACATAGTAGTGGTTTATTATAGTTTGATGAAAATCATAACAAACTAGTATTTTTATATAAATATTTAACAATAGGAACTTACAGTAATATAAAAGTTAAGCCAATTTTTTTTCAAATTTTATGACAATATGTTTATGTGTACATTATATATACATATAATAATATTTATGATATTTTTTGAATTTTAATTAAATTTTGAACTTTTGAACTTAATACTTTTTATATCGTATTGCAATAAATTGTTTACAGTAGGCACATTTCTATTAAATCTTTTTACACGATTTTTCTATTATATRCATTTAWACTTACAGTTTAATTTTGTGAAAATTACTTAATTATACTTTACCCTTTAAATTTCGAATAYATAAAGTTGATCGTTCGTTTGTTGTCAAATGTAGGTAGACGTACCTATTACATACTTATGACTCGTAGCGTTGATTTTTCAACACCTATACTATTAAATTGATACTTATCTAAATTTTATTTCTTTGAAATAGATACATAAACTTCTTAGTGAAATTAAAAAAAAAAAAAAATACAAAGCTACGCGTCACCGATAATATTTTCCTCTTTTAATTCGATAATAGGTCAATCAACTATAATATATTGACCTAAAGACCAATGTTGGTCTAACAAAAAGTATAAATTTGTTTTATTACTTGTAATACGATAGACATATAATAAATAGTAAATACATATGTTGCCGTCCTTTCCATGTGTTTCATACAAAATTGGATGACAAATTTGTGATGACTATTTGTTTAATTTGACTTATTTTTATTGTTTATATGAGTTTATAGTGCGTATTCATTGCTACATTATAAATTAAACATTGCAATTGAATATTGCATAAAAACATTAAAAACATAAATATTTTGTACTATGTCTTAGACAAAATTACGTTTTTAATTTATCATAAAGATAGTTGATGTACAACCTATAACTAATTAAATAGAAAGAAAGAAAAATTAACGTAAGCAAATAATTTCTAACCAAATTATCAATTATTTTTACAGGACATGTCTTCTGGTGGTGAAGATTTTCAATGTAGCCCAAATAATATGATGCCATCATCTGTGTCTTCAACAATTATGTTGAACAGCAATAGCAGTACGAACGATATGAACGGAGTTTCGACTGGTGAAAATAGTTGTGGAGGACTTGTAGTTATTAAACAAGAACCCAACACACTGCAAGATTATAAAAGCATCTCGACCAACTACAGTAATAATACAACAGAAGGATGTAATATGCTTCAAAAAGTACCTTCATTAAGTGATCTTTCCGATCCAGAAAATTCTTTAGGTATGTATAATGGATATTGTATACTAAATGTTATAACTTAAAACTACTATTTTMMCTAGATTTTTTTATATTAGTGGTAATACTATTTGTTTMCGGTATATTATTAATAGTATTAATAAATGCTCAATATTTTTCTAGGACCGTTGTTTAGTCGGTCGAGTATATAATATATTCAGGGTTTTATTTCCATTATTTTACGTATTGGACTATAAATAAAATAAACATACTTAAATAATTTATAATTTTAAGGTTACAATTACAATTTATATACCAACACTACTGCATAATACATAAAGTTTMCACCTGTACTTGCGTAATAGATWAAATCAAATCCAGATTTTAGGCAGCGCATGCCACATATTATTTCTGATATAAGTTAACACTTTTTCAACTCAACGAGTAACTAAAGTATAATATAGAAAGTAACGATGATGATTTTTACCGTATTTAATCATTAACATTTTTTTTATGACCTAATGAAATTAACTTTTTAATGTACGAGTATTCCAGTTTTAAAGATGTCGTCAGAGTTAGAATTAAGAAATTTTGTATCGCTGGTATATTTCATAAATTTATGTTTTATAGAAATATAGATTTCTATAGACCTACTTATATTATATAGTATATTTTAATATACCATATTAATAGGTAATTACTAATTTGTAAAATTAGTGGGAGTCCGATATAATTTTATTATGAAAACATAAAGAGTAGGTACTTGTTACTCCCACGTCCTTTCATTCAAGACCTGTATAGTAATTGGGAGAGCGGACAATGTCTCCTCTATGTTACTGTTTGCCTCTCGAGCTAAGCAATTAATTCAATCATTTTAAAATAATATATCATAGTTTACTATTTATGTCATGTATGTAGGTTAATATTTATAGTTAATAATTTATATATTTATAGTTAATAATTTATATATTTATAGTTAATAATTTATATATTTATTGTTAATAATTTATATATTTTAACAGTCCCTTTGTCTACTCTTCGAGAAATTTTAGGATGGTTATAAAGTGCATTATACATGAGGCAGCAATATTATGGTATATAACATAGGTATACTTACAGCTTTACAGGATGTTATTTTCATAATACTAATATTTAAATCGTTTTACTGCGTTTTATGGAAACAGTGAATATTTCGTAGATACTTAAATACCTACTTGAATTTAATTATTCCGCTTTAAGCTATTTTTCTGTATGAATTAAAAAAAAAAACTCTAATCTATTTTTTAAGCACAATATCGCGAAACGAATTTTTCATAATATATCTCTAAAAAATATTATGTCAACTTCAAAGTTTGTTATATTTTGCCAGATATCCATATGCAAAAAAATGTTTCATTAACCTTCAATAAGCATGTTTTTTTATTATGCTTAAATAAGTCAGTTTCGTGTGCTTGACATTATTCTCATTTACTATTATTTATCATACTATTGTAGCTATACTTCAATACGGTAATACTATATGTTTATCTAATATAATATTATGTCATATTGTCGTTAAATAATTTGAGCAAAGCATTCCAAACCTTTGTACTTAACTTTGATAAAATTTTCAGTATGTTGATATATGCCATGCAACAATAGTGTATACAAAACAAAAATAAACGTTTTTAGTAGGTATAGTAATTCATATTTAAATATTTACCCTAATTAACTATATGAAAAGTATATATACGTCAATCCACTTATTCATCTATCTAAATATTGCAGGATACACCTACCAAACTGTTTGTTTAACATATATAAATTATAGTTATACTGATCGCTGCTTGTTATCCATATCGTAAATAATATTTTCATAGAAAAATTGTTAAGTACGTTTCTAAACTATTATGAGGGAATGGAGCAATTAAGAGTGGAGGAGTGTTTCGAACGTGGCAATCAATTAAAATCACAATTAAAACCAGTCAAATAATGAGTAGAATAATATACAGCTATAGTCAACATTAACGTTTTAAAAAAAAATTTAAATAACCAATACAAATATAAACAGAAAACAATCATAAAAACCCAAAAACCGATTATACCAATGCGCTATTCTTTAAATGTCATTAAAATATGCTAACTATGAATACAAAAACACGCTCATGACATTAAGAGAACTTTCGCATTTCGAGGTGTTTGATWTAGGCGATTTAAATCAAATGAGTACAAAATTAAAATTCTATAAATCTTAAATATATTTTAATATTTTCTCAAAGTTCTTGACTTACAAGTGGTCCTATGCCCATAATCCATATATGTACCATTATCGTTTGTTACATTTATTTACAAGATTATAATGTATAAAAAAGGTTATGCTAAAAAAAATTAATTATTATCATACATACAATCTAATTAGAAACTAAAGTAAGTACCTTTACTTAAACTAAAACAAAAATACAACATTTACACTATCGTAAACTCAAAGCGTATTTATTTTTGTGATAATATGTTGTGTTAATACAAAAAAAGTTATTATTGTTTTAAAATCCATTATTTTTATAGTTATTGAACTTTAACAAACATTTTTTTATTAAAGATGTTAAGAAAATAAAACAAAAGCTACAATATATATAGGAAATATTGTCTTCTGTAACGTGTATAAATTTGGTTTTTCAAATATGACTGCAGTCTGAATAGTTTTTTTTTCACGCTAAACAGTGTTGACTAACGATTTATGAGTGTGTAACGTCCTCATCACAAAATTACATCAATGAAGGCACATATTGCTTCGATATCAAAGCCGAATGCGTTTCATTGTGTTGTCAATAAAAATAAAGATAAGAAATCTTGTCAATATAATGGATATAGCATTGAAATGTATTACATGTAAGTAAGTTGTAGTTAAGTATAAAACGTGTCGAATTTACCATACACTTAATGGAGCTCAACATTTGTATTCATTTTCACCCGCTGTGGACAAAAAATGTCAGTTTAAAGATCAATTTTTTTTTTGTTCGAAAAACGATAAATGTTTATATGATTATGTCTATACTACGAAATTGCTAATATTGCAAAATAGGTATATAATAATTAATAAATTATAAACGACTATATACCTGTGTGTATGAAAATTAGCCATACGATTAACCCAACCTAACTATCCGAAGACTTACGCCATAGGTCAAAATACCGTAACGAGCGAATGAGTTGCATATAGGTACGTATCATTCAAGATCGTTTGTTGTGTTCGCGCGACTGGTTTCTAAATCCACGATGAACCTACCCACGTAAAATTAAAATTTTAATATATTAAAATACTACATTAAAAAATACCATTTATTTTCGGGTTCTGGCACGGCACACGTAGCGACGACACGGTGTTGCCATCTATCGGGCTTCSCGTCACTCTTCATGCGCACAACGCTACCTGTCGGATTGTTTTCTGTCCGTATCTCGGTATCCGGTTTGACGTTACGCTTTTGGTTAACCAGATCGCGTCCGTCTATTTACGACCGGTAATCGGGCTATGCGTTTTTAAGATATTATTTTAATTTTTTTTTTTCACTGCAACTCGGTATTGGGTAAACCACTATTATACCATATACCATTTTACGGTTAACGATTCGGCGGGAAAYTTCCCTTCGGACGATCGGCGAAATCGGCCTTCTACGTCATCGATCCTAGTTCCGACCAATAATCACCGTCCCGGCGTCGTGTCTCGTGAGTGTCCGCCTAGAAATTTTCGGATTACCTACAGACATTTGTATAATAATATTCTTCCAAATAGGTACGTACTTACCTCTGTATACAATATCGATTTTAGGTATAACACATCGTCGTTGGATGCGCTCATTGACATGCATAATATGGCAGCGACCGACTATATATAGTGACTAACTATAATATTATAATAGTGTATACGACGAGGCTTGTGCAGATATAATATTCACTAATAGTGACGTGCCGAGAATAACGACGGATAGCGTTTTTATATTGTTATTGACCATTTCCTGTCGGGGCTACGTAATAAATGTATAGCCAACATGTTTGTGTACCCGGGCTGCGACGTTACAATACACGGCGACCAGCGTTCGTGCCTAAACCTTCGTATCGAAATTTATGAACTGTGGTCCCAATAGACTGTATATTATTATATATATTATTATACCGATTGACGATTGTCGTTATTAATGATAAATGTACGTCGACGAAAATAATATTACATGACGTATAGTGTGCATATAATATTCCAACAAAAACCAGTCGGTGAATGAATATTGTATGATATTATATAAATGCCGATAAAATATAACGTTTTTGAAGACTGTTTCACGTGAAAAAGGTCACACTCGGCTACTCGGACTGCAGACATTGTAGTTGAGAATCCAAATTTATTTTCACTACATACGTCGAATAAGAGTTTATAGACGAAGACAATATTTCTGTGTCGTAACATTTTTATTTTTATTTTTTTGATTTAAAAAAAGTTACTCTAATTTTAAAAACATAAAAACAATGGATTTTAAAACAATAATATCATTTTTTGTATTAGTGATGTCAACAAAATAAAAACCCTATGACACAGCAACTAATATTGTCTTTATTGTCATGTATATTTTTTTTATACTATAACTTTATTGTATATATATAGTTTTTCGCGCCAAACTATTTTCCGTGGGTATACTTATGGGTAATATTGTAATTATGATGTTACAGTCATCAAATGCTGATAGGGGATCACGCATGAGTTAAGGACTTTGAAATAGTATTTAAATTAATTTAATATAAGATTTAAATTTTTCTCAACATCTTATTAAAATTGACGTTATCAATCTACTTAAAAAGCGTGTATGTGTGATGGTGGCATTTTTTTTAAAATGTTCTTTTAATAATTTGTTATAACGGTATATTAGCTCCCCTTTTGTGTACCTTAATAGGTAATTAGTAAAGGACATTATAACTACATATAAATTATGTTGACGATACTGCAGTTAAATTACATTGTATAGTAATCAATATGGTATGTTTTTGCATTGTTCGTATAATAATAAATTTCGAATTGGAATGAGTTTTTCTTTTAAAGGGCAAAACATATTAGTGAAGCATAATAGACTTAAATTTAAAGTCGCGGTGAAATTTAGGAATGAATAATGGTCCTCAAGATACATCCGTCTCCTTATATCGTCGAAGGATGTACGACAAAATAACTATTGTATATTATGCTATTAATTTTTAAAAGGAATAGCAATAATGGCGTATAATTGAAGTCTACAAATGTAATATTCAAATGTAACCTATAATTATATTAAAAATATTCAATAAGAACCACTGTTATTTTGGTACTTAAGCTATTCTCTTTGATATATTCGTATTTTTATTTAAACGTTTTGCCATAAAACCCACAAAAGACCATATCCGGGTATGTGTCCATCCAAATTAATTTCAGAAGCAACGCACACTGTACGTTGAAAATKTACTAGAAAATAATAATAAAATAATGTTTAGTACAGTGTAGCCAGTGTAGGTATAGTAGGTACGCGATGAACTGAATATAAAACAAATCTTTCTTGGAGTACCTATACCTGATTAATTTATAGTGTCACCATTGTGTGGTAAGTTTTTTCAGGTATACTTATAGCCTATAGGCTACAGAGTCTTACGTAGATACTTAAATCTTTTCTAATAACTATTATATTTAAAATGTCTATAATCTGTTACTCAATCAGCTTAAAGAGAGTATCTGTCTAGCGACAGAATCCTCAATGAAGACAATWTATAAATCGAGATTCAAAATGTTGCTACAACAATATTTTGTTAGGTAACTGGAGGGGGATGTAGGCTTTTATCAAAATGAAATAAATAGAACTCTAAATAGTCAGCAATACTTAGTCAAAGTATAGGTAACAACCAACATTACTAAATATTTCTTTATATAACTGTAGCATGCAGCTAATATAATTATATCATAAGACGAGTGTATTGTATATTTCGTAAATGCGCTAAAATAATCGTTTTTCGGGGACACAATTAGGTATATAAAAATGCAACTTTTTAAATTTTTTTGTTTTGGAATGATTTCAG